GCAACCTCCATTCTGAGCTTGGACCTGCTCATCCTGCACTGACGCGTTTGAGTCTTCATGTGCTGGAGCGTGACCGCAGGCAGCCCCCATGCACTGGAGGAGACTGGGACCTCTGTGCTAGCAGGGTCTGCAGACAAGGGCCCTGGGCATGTAGGGGTGCACAGGCCTTAGCAAGTCCTTGTGGGGGTCTCCACACTTGAGCGTGTGGAAAATACCCAGATCTTGTGCCCGTCTCTGGACTCTCCTTTGCTGCCTGCCCCTGGCAGCACCACAGAGACAGAGAAAGTGTAGCTTAAAAATGACTCTGTAGCTTAAAAATGACTCAGCCTCAATACTGTGCTGGTGGTAGGATGCTGTGGTCCCTGGGACGCAGCTCAAATCTCTAACAACCCTTTATCCAGGGGTAGTGGCAGAAGGAAAGGTGCATCCCGGGTGCTGCAAGGGTCTGGCCTTGCTGGGAGCCTTATGCTGCTGCTAGGAGGTTCTGTGGGGATAAAGGCCTGGTTTCTGACCAAGCACTTGCATGGGTGAATAGGTTGCTTGCTTTTACTTGAGTTTCTCAGTTGTAATTGTGAATCATGAGTCACCTTTCAGCATGGGTGTACATTTTCTCTAATTCAGCTCTTTTCCAGGAAAGAGCATGCTGCTTTTTCTTTTGATCTTTAAATGGAAAGATTGCCACCACTCTTAGCAGGAAAGCTCGTTTCATCTGTGTCAGAGTCCTGCTGGAGATGGTTTCCTTCAGCTTTTGAAGCTGACGAGATAGAACTTGTGGTTGGAAGAACTTGCTGCACCTCTCTGCGTTGGCTGCATGAAAAAGAAACAAGGAAATGGAGAAAAGGCTCTTGAGCTTGAGTGAGCCTTGGGGAGCTGCCCCGGCGCCGCACTTGCCTCCCCTCATTGCAGCCCCTTGGCTGGGTGGTCCGTGCCTGGGCCTGAGGAGCAACTTCTGGGCAAGAGCCATGAGGGACAGTGCAGTTTGGGAAAGGTGGTTGTGTGGTGTCTGAGAGCCTTTTATGGGAGAGGAACCCAAGGTCTTGAGTAGTTTGTTGGATAAACATGATGCCCTTGAAGGAGGCCTTTGTTTGCTGGACTCACAGTTTAGTTGGTGTCTCAAGCAGCAGTAGATGGTTGTCCACCATCATCTTGTCACACTTCTGTGAGCCTAAACTTCAGAGATGCGAGTGCAAAGGGCAAAACAGAATTACATTCTGCATAAAACTTGCGAGTAGAGTTCTCATGCTGCAAATATCCTGACTGCTCTTTCTGATCCCTTAGCCCAAGGGGTAACTCTGAATATCAGGATAGCTGTTTGGGGACAGCGAGGCTTTCCCTTTGGCATAAGTTTTGAGGGCTGCTCACTTCAGCCTTGTTGCCTCTGCTGGAGTGCCTGCTGGGCTGAGGTTTCCTCAGGCTGCTTGGTGCATTACATGTGTTTCTGTGGACGTGGCTTGTCCAGGTGGGCAAACCATGGGTGTTTGTGGATTTTCCTTGTGGCTGTGCCATGTTCATGGGCTATGGCACCCCAGCATCCTCTAAGGATAATCCCTTAGCTGATCTTTGTGACCCTTCTGCACCCCTATCCCTCTAGGAGGAGCCTGGCAGGCTTGTGCCTGGGTGCTCTTTTGCTGCATTGGTGTAAGGGAGCAAGGGCTGCCCCATGGCTCTGCCCGGGCTGCCCCATGGCTCTGCCCGGGCTGCCCCATGGCTCTGCCCGGGCTGCCCC